GTGTGTGTGTGTATGGATGTGTTCTGTGTTCATACATGTGTGCATGGTGTGTGTGTGTATGGATGTGTTCTGTGTTCATACATGTGTGCATGGTGTGTGTGTGTATAGATGTGTTCTGTGTTCATACATGTGTGCATGGTGTGTGTATAGATGTGTTCTGTGTTCATACATGTGTGCGTATGGGGTGTGTGTGTGTGTACAGGTGTGTGTGTATGATGTGTTTGTGTGTATGGATGTGCTCTGTGTGCTGAGGTGTGTGTATGGTGTGTATGTGTGTGTGTATGTGTATAGATGTGTGTGTATGGATGTGCTCTGTGTGCTGTGTGTGTATGCTGTGTGTGTGTGTACAGATGTGTGCTGGATGGTGTAGAGATGTGTGTATAGATGAGTTCTGTGTGCTGAGATGTGTGTACATGGATGTTCTCTGTGTGCCTAGATGTGTGTGTATGGTGTGTGTGTGTGTATAGATGTGCTCTGTGTGCACACATGTGTGTGCAAGGGGTGTGTGTGTGTACAGGTGTGTGTATGGTGTGTGTGTGTGTATAGATGTGTGAGGTGTGTGTGCAGCTGTGTTTGTGTGTGGGTATGGATGTGTATGTATAGATGTGTTCTGTGTGCATACATGTGTGTGTATAGATGTGTTAGATGTGTGTGCACAGAGATGTGTGGTGTGTGTATAGGTATGTGTGTATATAGATATGTTCTGTGTGCTTAGATGTGTGTGTACAGATGTGTTCTGTCTGCTTAGATGTATGTGGATGGTGTGTGTGTGTATGGGTGTGCTACCTGTGTGTGTATAGAGATGTGTGGTGTGTCTGTACAGATGTGCTCTGTGTGCACAGGTGTGTTTGTGTATATTGTGTGTGTGTAGAGATGTGTGTGTAGAGGTGTGTGTGTATGGATGTGCTGTATATGGGTGTGTGTGCATAGATGTGTGTCTAGATGTGTTCTATCTGTGTGCATACGTGTGTGTGTGCATAGAGATGGGTCTAGATGTGTGTACAGAGATGTGTGGTGTGCGTGTATAGATGTGTGTGCACAGATGTGTGTGTATAAATGTGTGAGATGTGTGTGTATAGAGATCTGTGTGCGTGCAGCTGTGTGTGGGTATGGATGTGTGTGTATAGACAGGGGTGTGTGCACAGATGTGTTCTGTGTGCTGAGGTGTGTGTGTATGGATGTGTGTGTATGGATGTGTGATGTGTGTACAGATGTGCTCTGTGTGCACAGATGCATGTTTGTGTATGGTGTGTGCATGTATAGATGTGTCAGATGTGTGTGTATAGAGGTGTGTGTGCATAGATGTGTGTCTAGATGTGTTAATGTGTGTGTATAGAGGTGTGTGTGCATAGATGTGTGTCTAGATGTGTTCTATCTGTGTGCATACGTGTGTGTGCATGGTCTGTGTGTGTATAGATATGTTAGATGTGTGTGTATAGAAGCGTGTGTGTATGGATGTGCTGTATATGGGTGAGTGTGCATAGATGTGTGTCTAGATGTGTTCTATCTCTGTGCATACGTGTGTGTGCATGGTGTGTGTGTGTACAGATGTGTTAATGTGTGTGCATAGAGGTGTGTGTGCATAGATATGTGTCTAGATGTGTTCTATCTCTGTGCATACATGTGTGTAGGGTGTGTGTGTGTACAGAGATGTGTTGTGTGTGTGTGTATAGATGTGCTCTGTGTGCATATAGATGTGCTAGATATGAGTGTGTGTGCATAGATGTGTGGTGTGGATGTGTTCTATGGAGATATGTGTGTGCACAGATGTGTGTTTGTGGATGAGTGTGTAACATGTGTGCATAAGGGCACGTATATAGGTGTGTTATGTTTGTGTATGGAGATGTGCATGCATGGATGCGCTGCATGGGTGTGTGGTGTGTGTGTATAGACGTGTTCTATCTGCCTCTGTATGTGCACAGATGTGTGTTTGTGTGTGAAAGTGTTAAATACACGTGTGTGTTTGTGGAAGGGTGTTAAATATGTGTGTGTATAGATGTGTGTGCTATGGATGTGTGTACATAGAGGTTGTGCGCATAGCTGTGCTGTATGTGTGTGTATGAATGTGTGGGGGGTGTGCATAGATGTGTTCCACCTGTGTGTGTGTATGGGTGTGTTAAATGTGTGTACTTGTGTGTGTGCATAGAGGGGTGTGCTTATAGATGTGCTATGTGTGTGTATGTGTTAAATGGGCACGTATGTGTCATGTGCACAAGTGTTACGTGTGTGCATGTGGCCTGTGTGTGCATATATGTGCTTATCTGTGTGCATGTGTGTGTGTTACATGTGTGCATATGGACATATGTGTGTGTATGTGCATATCTGTGTGTACATGTGCTTAGCTGTGTGCATGTGTGTATAAGTGTTACATGAGTGCATATGGACATATGTGTGTGTGTGTATGTGCATACTTGTTACATTTGTATACAGTGCATATGTTCTGTGTTTCATATCCATTACATCTACACGTGTGTTATACACGTGCACCAAAGCATTCTGCACATGTCGTGCACATGCAGTTTGTGTGTAAACGGGTCGTAAGCCTGCATACGTGCTGTAAGCGTGTATGATGTGCACGTTACATGCGTGCAAATATAACTGCATGCATGATGCACGTCTGTTACACCTTCCTGCATCCATGTGCACACAGAGGTGCCTGCCACATGCCGTGCACAGCCGTGTCAGAGCTATGTTGTGTGCGTTACATGCGTCTGCACACATGCCAGCCGTGCATCGATGCGTGTAACACACACAGCTGATCCTCTGCCCCCCACGCAGGGCTGGCTGGGAGCGCTGGCGCTGCTGAGCGCCGTGGTGCTGTGCTGCTGCCTGCGCCGTCCTGCCGTCCCCATGCATCACCACCCCCACGTGCGCTGCTACGGCACGGCAGAGCTGCGGGATGGAGAGGCCCCCGCACACCTCCTGGGCCGCAGCCTGCGCTGGGAGCAGCACGTGCCGGTGCAGTTGGTGCCCCAGATCGAGGCAGCCCAACGGCGACGGAGACGCAGAGAGCATTCCTGCCCCACGCTGCAGCTCCGTGCAGGGCTGCACAGTGAGCCCCACGAGAGATCCATCTCACCGTGGCGGTACCGGTGGGTGTGGGGAATGGGATGGAGAGGGATGGAGAGGGATGGAGAGGGATGGAGAGGGATGGAGAGGGATGGAGAGGGATGGAGAGGGATGGAGAGGGATGGAGAGGGATGGAGAGGGATGGAGAGGGATGGAGAGGGATGGAGAGGGATGGAGAGGGATGGGTACAGCAGGAGTGGTACTGTGGGATGGAGAGGGATGGGCATAGTGGGATGAAGAGGGATGGAGAGGAAGGGAGAGGGATGGGCATAGTGGGATGGAGAGGGATGGGGACAGAGGGATGGATGCAGTGGGATGAACAAGGATGGGCACCGTGGAATGGAGTGGGATGAACACGTTGGGATGGAGAGGGCTGGATGCAATGGGATGGAGAGGGATGGGTACAGTGGGATGGAGAGGGATGGACTGGGATGCAGCAGAATGGATAGGGATGGGCACAGAGGGATGGAGAGGGAGGGACACAGCAGGATGGACAGGGATGGGCACAGTGGGACGGACAAAGTGGAATGGAGCAGGACGGACACAGCAGGATGAACACAGAGATGGAGAGGGATGAATAAGGATGAACACAGTAGGACGCAGCAGGATGGACTGGAACAAGCACTGGGGTGGAATGGGATGGAAATAACGGGTTGGATAGCAGTGGGCACAGCGGTATGGAGTGGGATGGATGCAGAGGGGCAGAGCGGGTGGGATGCAGCGAGATGGAGCCGGATGGAGAGAATTAGACACAGCGGGATGGAGAAGGAGGGAGAGGGATGGACACGGAGGGGCGGCTGCTCACCACCTTGCCTTTCTTGCAGCATCGACGAGGACGAGGACCGCTACCCACGCAAGCTGGCCTTCGCCGAGTGCCTGTGCACCGGCTGCGTGGATGTGAAGACAGGGAGGGAGACGACGGCGCTCAACTCGGTGCTCATCCACCAGACCATGATGGTGCTGCGCCGCAAGCCCTGCCCGCGTCCCTCCAGCCCCGGCCTCATCACCTTCGAGGTGGATTACATCCGTGTGCCCGTGGGCTGCACCTGCGTCCTGCCCCGCACCGGCCGCTGAGCCCGCTCCCTCGGAGCACCCCCGACCCCGTGACCGTGTCACCCTCCTCGTGCTTGTTTTAGAGCACTCGTTCCTCCCACCCCGTCCTCCTCCTCGACCCCGTCACCATTTATTTATGAGTTATTTATGATGCCCGCTGGGGGATTTATTTTTGTAACCCCGTATTTATTGCTCACCCTCCCCTAAGCCTCCCCATAAGGCAGCAGCCCTGGGCTCAGCCTCAGCCCGTACCTGCAGCCCTCCCCGGGTGCTTCCCAGTTATTTATTCCCCCTCAGTGCTATTTATTGAGACCTCCGTGTGCTATTTAACGCCGGCAGCGTGCAGCCTGAAAATAAAAGCTTGACTCCCAATGTGCCACGCTGGGATAACTGGGAGGGCAAGGGGCAGAGGTGCACGGGTCCCCCCCGTTGTGCCCCGTGGATGCTGGAAGGGAGGTGCCAAACATGCAGGGATGAAGGTGCTTTGGGTAACCCCCAATGGATGCTGGGGGGCATCTGCCATCCCCAAAGCACACCCAGGAGAAGGGGGAGGCAATGGGGAGAACAGGAGGACAACCCCACACAAGCACCCCATCACCACCCACTCCTTTCCCACAGCTCTGCCCTGGGCACTCACATCCCATGGGCTCAGCGCCACCTACAGGGGTTGTCCCACGTATCTTCAGAGCACCCATGGGCGCTGGGGGGGGGGGTGAGGGGGTGAGGGGCTGGGTGTCACCTCTGGGGACCACGTGTCCTCAAGCCTGTCCCCACTCCAGGTTTGTCCCATCGGTGGGGTCACTAAAGATTTGGGCATCGAGCTTCCACCACACATCCAGGGCACACGGGGGCAATGAATGCAGTGGGGTCAGGAAGGATCTGGGGCCTTTCAGTCCTTTTATTGTAAAAAGCAACCAGAGAAAAAAGAAAAGAAGAAAAAAAAACAAATGACAACATACAAAATGTGAAAAGGTGGTGCAGCGAGCAGAGCTGCGTGAACCCCAGCAGCACAGTGGGGCTGCGTGGCTGGCAGAGTCCCCTGGGACATGGGGCGGGCATCTCAACAGCCCCCAGGGATTCTGAAATCACTCAGGAGCTGGGGAGGAAGACCCCCCCCCCCCCCCCAGGGGTTTGGGGACCAGTGGGGGGGTGAGGGGTGAAGCTGGGAAGTGAGTGCAGCAGCAGGGACCCCCTGCTCTGTGTTACTCAACCTCTACAGGGATGGGGTTCACCTGCCCCCCCACTTCGACCATCTGCTTCCTGCGTGCATCAGCAGGGGGTCGCGGTGGGGGGTTGCTGGGGGGCTGCTTGATGGTGTCCCCCATATGGGGCCGCTCCCGGGGCTTCTGCTCAATGGGTCGCCACTCCTCCCCACGCACAGCTGCCTGCAGGGCAGTGGGGGGGGGAGGAAAGGGGGCAGTCAGTGGGGAAACCCTCTCCTTCAACCCCATCACCACCCCCTGCTCCCCCAGAGCAGCTCACCAGCAGGTAGATGCCACTGGCAATGCCCAGACAGACAGTGCCCAGGATGGTGGAAAGCAGGAAGCCAGCAGGGACGGCTAGCCTGAGAACACAAGGGAGGGTGAAGGGGGTGGTTCAGGGTGTGCCCCCCATCCCCAACCCCACTCACGCTGCATGCAGGATGGCACGGATGTAATAATTCCGGGTGAGGGGTCCAAACACCTTCAGCACTGCCGTCATGTACCTCTGGCCACTGTGGGGTAATATGCAGAGTCAGGGGGGGCACCCAGCCCTAAAGGACCCCCCGCCAACATGTAGGAACCCCAGTGCCACCCCATCACTCACCAGCGCTCCATGGTGGAGCCCTTCTGCCTCTTGCTGCGTGGGTACTCCAGCAGGCAGACGAAGGCACCTGCAGCACTGAGTTGGGGGGGGAGTCAAGGAAAAGGGTGTTGGGAGCCAAGAGTATGGGGTGAGATCCATAGGGAGTGGGGCAGAAATGTGGTCAAGGGTGGGGGTGAATTCTGTAGGGAAAGGGGCCGGAATGGAGCGATGTGGGGCCAAACAGTGGGAAGGAGATGTAGGACACCCCCCCCCCCCCCTTCCCCGCCTGCACAGGGTCAGGTGCCCCCTCCCACCCCGAGTCCCATAAGGATACATGGCGTACGCAGCGAAGTACCAGCCCTTGAACTGCCCAGCCACCGCCACGACTCCTCCGGTCAGCATGACTGCGGGACAGCGGGGACATGGCTGCCACCCCCGGCACCTCCAACGAGTGGGGACATCGGGGGACGCTCCGCGGTGGGACCCTCAGGAGCCCGAGCAGGGAACGGGGGGGGTTTAACTCCCGGTAGTGGCATGGCGGGGGGGGACAGCGTGGGAGACCCACGGTGACACACGATGGGGACGATAGACTCGTCAGCTCTTCCGCGTCCTCGGTGCCGCTCACTTCCTCCATCCCAGGAGGGGTTGGGCCAAAACGGGCTGGAGGGGGAAAGGGGGGGGCGAGGGGAACGGCTCGGGGGGGACACAGCCAGGGGTCGCTGCGTGGGGCGAGGGCTCGACCCCCTCTCCATATCCCATCTCCACAGCCCTGCATCCTCAACCCCGCCTCCCTACCCCTAAACCCCCTCCCCATATCCTCACCCCATCCCTGCATCCCCATCCCATATTCAGCCTTTCGACCCCCCTCCCCCTCATCACCCAGCCCCCTAACCCTGCACTCACTCAGCCCGGCCGCCAACGCCTGTTCGTTGGCCCACATGGCCCACTCGATCTGCCCCATGGCCCGGCTCCCCTCGGCTCAGCCCGACCCGGAAGGCAGCGGTGCAGCGACGCAATCGAACCCCTTCCCCTCCTTTGGCCACGTCCCCTTCTCGTAAACCACGCCCATAAATACGCTCCGGCCACGCCCACTAATTAACGCTCGTTAACCACAGGCCACGCCCACCGAACACAAACCACGCCCCCCTTTCGCGCAGGCCACGCCCCCGCAGCGCAGCGCCGGGCCACAGCGGGACGCGGGGCGGTGCGGGGACACAGGATGACATGGGACAGGAGCAGCCCTGATGGGGAACACAGAGCGACCCGGGGGGACCCCCGGTGGGACACAGGGCGTGCTGAGCTCCGGCAGGAGGCTGGCTGCAGGGGCAGCAACGCAGTGGACAGCAGGGGGAGGCAGGACAGTCCCCCAGCACCTCACGGCAAACAGAACCAACAAACCCCAGAGCAGAGCTGCGGCTGGAAAACCTCTGTTATTTGGTTACAAAAGAGTAAAAACCAGGCAATGGGAGGGGACACGTCTGGGCCAGGATGGGTACAGCTGAGCACAGCACCTCGCAGCCCCAAAGCAGGCACTGGGATGGTGGCTCCCTGCCTGTGTGCCCCCCAAGGGCAGCCCCTGCTGGGCATCCCTGCTGTCCCCAGTGGTGTCCCCATCATAGCGTCCCCATCACAGAGTCCCCCATTCTCAGGCAGAGCGGCACGGCAGCCCATCAGGGCCCAGCAGGTGCTGGCTGGGGTCATCCAGGAGCTGTGGGCCAGGGCCAGGCTGTGGGGACAGGAGACGTGTTAGGGGACAGCAGTGAGCAGCAGGGTCGGGGCCCTGTCCCCCCCCATACCTTGGTGTGCAGGATGTAGCGAATGGCCCCTGGCACTGGATCCACCACCACGGCTGACACCAGCTCCTCTGGCAGCACTGCCGTGCCAACAGGCCGGCCTCGAAGGAACCTGCAGCAGGGATGGCACTTAGCTGTCCCCAACCCCATGTCCCCGTCCCATGCTTCCATCCCCATTCCCATCCCACCAGTCCCTATCCACATCTCCATCCCCATCCCTCCAGTCCCCATCTCCCTCCCTATCGCCATCCCATCAGTGCCTACCCCCATCTCCATACCCATTCCCACCCCACCTTTTCCCAACCCCAACCCCATTCCCATCCCACAGGTCCCAAATGACAACACCCTTACTGGTCCCCATTGGAGTTGGGTGGGAAGCTGCTCCTCACCACCTCCACAAACTCATCCACGGTGTCCTCCAGCATGAAGATGACCGCGTTGGGGCCAGCATCGAAGGTGTAGGCCACCTGGGGACGGGGACACAGTGAGAGGTGCACAGTGCCAGCGGGGCGGGGCCGCGGGGGGGCTGCCCTACCTTGGTGCGCCCATGGTGGGCATTGAAGCGGTGTGCCAGGGCGATGATGCGCTGCGAGATGTCGTTGAGGTAGAAGATGGGAGGGAAGGTGTCAAGGCAGGTGGCGTGGAACTGATTGCTGTCCTGCATGGTCAGCTGCCCAAAGGCCTCAAAGTCCCGATCCCGGATGCAGCGCGCCATGCGGGTCATGCGCTCCGGCACCACCACCTCAGCACGGTACTATGGGGAGAGCATCAGGGGGGGTCATCTCACAGATCCCATGGGATTTGCTTCCCCACAGCTCACCCAGAATACCACAGCCCCATTGCACTCAACCATTGGAGGAGACTTCTAAGATCTACGCCCACTGACCGTGTCCCCATGTGCCACGTCTCCACAGTTCTGGGACACCCCCCGGGCAGCCTGTGCTGGTCATCATCAAACATCCAACCCACCTTCAGCAGGGGGCTGGTGTCCACGCTGGTCTGCATCCCCGCCGTGCTGCCCACCGCCTTCTTCTCCCCGCTGACCTACACGAGACCACAAGATGTGGGCATCCTACAAGGGCCAGCTCCCAGCCCCAACGGCAATTCCCATCCCTCACCACCAGCACGAGGACGCTCAGCTCCGGCCAGTGTGTCTCAGGTGCCAGCTGCTGTGCCACGCTGTCCCTGCCGTCCGGCCGCTCCCCGCGGTGCCACTGCACGAAGCCTCCCAGCATACTGCGGCACGCACTGCCCGACCCACGCCGTGCCACCTCTGACAGCTCACCCTCCACACCGTACAGCCGTGCCAGCGCTGACACTGCAGGGATAACACTGCTGTGCTCACGCTGTCCCCATCACCCCACCCTCCACCCCCCGCTGTCCCCTATACCCACCCAGGCAGGCATAACCAGCAGCTGAGGATGCCAACCCGGCAGCAGTGGGGAAGTTGTTCTCGGAGGCGACGTGCACTTTGTAGGAGAGGCTGAGTGGGGCTGCAGCATCGTCACCGCGTCTCTTGCGGGCCAAGCGCCTCACTGTGCCGGGATGGGGTTATAAGGAAGCACAGGACATGTGGCTCTGTGCCCCCATCCCGGCACAGCTCACCTTCCCGCAGGCAGGCCTGCAGCCGGGGCTGCCCCGCATCCACCTCCTCCCCATTCAGCCACAGGCGGTCCTCGGTGAAGTCACGGCACGCGGCGGCTGTGGTGGTGGTCCTCAGCTGTATGGGATGGCACTGAGCTCGGGGACATGCAGCCCCGGGGATGGGGAGGGGGATATCGGATCCCCCAGGGCTGGAGGTGGGCACGCAGCCCTGCACTAACCTGGTCCTGGTGCAGCGTCACGCTGAGTGAGGAGTTGATGGGCAGGATGAGGTCGGTGTCACGCTTACCCCCTGCGAAAGATATGGAGAGGTACAGCAATGCTTGGCAAGGCACAGTGCCACTGTGCACAGCACGGCGCTGCCTGGCATGGCATGGCACCACTTGGCACGGCACGGCACTGCTTGCTGCTCATCAGCACAGCCTGGCACAGCATGCCATACTGCTTGGAACGGCACCACACAGCACGGCACTGCTTGTGGTGGGCATGGCACGGCGTGGCACGGCGTAGCACAGCTCAGCACAGCATGGCACTGCCTGGCACGGCTCGGCACTTAGCACAGCAAAACCCGGCACGGCACGGCACGACCCCGCGCCCCCCGCCCGCACTCACAGTATTTGATGACGGCGATGTTGACGGGCGCTGTGCAGGTGACCCGCGCCGTGCCCCGTTCCGCCGCCATGCTTCCGCACACTGCCGCCGCCACGCCCCGCCCAGCCGCTCGCGCGTGCGAGTCCCGCCACGCCATTGGCTGAAGGCACAGCGGCCGGGGCCGGACGACCAATAGCAGAGATCGGACCACGGGGCGGTCCCGCCCCATCCCGCCCATTGATGGAGCAGAGCGAAGGCGTGAAGGGGGCGGGGCCAACGTGGTGCCGTGTGGGCAGCGCGCATGCGCGGAGACGGGCTGTGTTGGGGGTCCGTGCTCGCAGTGCCCCTATCCCGGTGCCCCCAGCACCCCCAGCACCCCACTGCCCACCCAGAGCCCACAATAACCCCCCTATACACCCCCAGTGCCAATGCTCCCAGTATCCCCAGTGCTCCCAGCACCCCAGCCTGACAAGCCCCTATTGCCCCTTCGGCAGCCGAGATCCACTCCCCCCCCAGTATCCCCTCACTCCCGTGGGGTGTTTTTGTCCCTCGTTCCTGTGCCTGGAGGTGGGCACACGCCTGGTATGTGGGTGACACTGCTGGGGTGGGCCCAAAAGCCCCCACCAGAGGCTGAGGGAGCAGCCCATAGGGAGTATTTTGGACGACCTCCCCCCCAATGGGTGCTGGCAGGTGCGGCGGAGGCCACCCCAGGCTCTGAGTGCCCCCCCCCAGAGCTTTACAAGCATTTTCCATGGGCGAGAGGAGGCACGCGGCTATTTTGGGGTGTGGGATCCTTTCCCTGTCGCAGGGACAGGTGGGGACCCGATTTAGCCCAGCGGGGCTGCAAACAGCACACGGGGAGGGGGGAGGTGTGGCATCCCTCTGCTGACATCCCCCAGAATGCCCCCAGGGCTCCCCAGCCCCCAGGGTGACACCGTGGGGCACCACCACCATGCTGGGGATGCTCAGTTATTGGTGGGATCCCTGGGGTACAAATCCTACAGGAGCACCCAGGCTAGAAGTCTCCTCAGCAAGCAGAGCTAAAACCCGAGGGACAGCCAGCTCCAGCCCCAAGGACCCCACGGCCAGCAGGGCACAGCCAGGGGAGCCATGGCACTGTGCTTGGGTTAAAGCTGAGCTCAGTAAAACCCAATATCCCTGCTTTTCTTTATAGGGCTTCCCACCCAAAAGCGGCCAGGAGTAGCACAGACCCCCCTCAGCCCAAAAAGCCTGGCTTGGGGGCATGAGGGCAGCTTGGCTCCATCCATGGGGACACAGCGGTGAGCAGGGCAGGGGATGTGGACTGGGGATGAGGATGCACTGCATCAATAAGGGACATCTCCCTGCTGACAGCCGTGGGGCTCAGCTCCATCTTTAAGAGCCTGAAGCCCCAAAACCCTTTATGGTGCAGAAACTGAGGGAGGACCCTCAGCCTCAGGGTGTCTGAACTGCAAAAAGAGGCTGAGCAGAGCCAGCACTGCGTCCCCAGGGAACTCCATAGGGGCACGGAGCCAGGACACCCGGAGCAGGAACACCCATCACACTGCCCTGGCTCACACCCAGCAGTGCTTTTAGGACAGCACGCTCAGCGTGTGCCAGGACACGCAGCCAGGACTGGGCACAAGGGGCCATGGGGCTCCCATGGGGTCTGGTGATGTCACAGCATGGCCAAATCCCTCCATGAATGGCAGGAGTTGATGACTCAGGGGACAGGGAAGGATTTTGGCCCCAGTGCCATCCCCTCCTGCTCCCCACTTGGACTCCCTGGGGGGCACAGACTGCAGTCCAGGCTGCCCATGGATGAAACTGCCTTTATTGAGAAAAAATGGTTTGCTACAAATACGTCGTCGTATTTTTATAATTATTATTATTATTATTATTCTTTTCTTCTTTTTCAAAAAACATTATGTCTCATTAAAAGTTCTACTCGTTATGCAAAAAGTCAGGGTAACATGGACGAGCACGGCTGGCAGCACAGCAGGATTCCCAACCCCACACCAAGGGGTGCAAGAGGCAGGAGCTGCCTGCGCTGCCTTAAAGTGCTTTACAAAAGCAGCCACTGCTGCCCCTGCTCCAACACTGCCGGGGCAAAAAGGAGGAAGAGGAGAAGGAGGAGGAAGAGGAGGAGGAAGGAGACAGAGGCATTAAAAGCACTGTCCCAGATGGCCCAAGGCAGGCAGCGAGAGCTCCAATGGAGGGCTGCATGAGGCAGAGCCCTCTAAGCAGGAACCTGGGGGTCCCAGACAAGGAGGGGACAGGGAGCAGGTAAAGCCCCTGGGCTGGACACGTGGCAAGGGTACAGTGCTGGGTAGGGAAGACACCGCTGCTTCCCACTAACCCTGGCTGCACAGAGGGAGCAGAGCAGCCCCAGCCCTCACCCCCTGCCAGGGGGCTGCCAGAAGCACAGGGGAGATCCTGGCCCCCAGAACACTCGGTACTACTTGAAGTAAAAAGACAGTATTGCTAGAGCACAGCTGGAAGGAGCCAGGACTCAGGCAACCCACAAAAGGATGCTTCTCTGAGTGTGGGGATGCAGGCAGCAGCCCAGCCCCACGGGCATAGGTACAGCCCCAGAGCAGAGCAGTGGCACATCCCAGCAGCACGCTGTCCTTTGGCATAGCTTTGGGCCAGCCCCAGATGGGACTGTGGGGGCAAAGCTTGGGGTCCAACTTGGAGAGACCCCTTGGGTCCTCCTCCAGCACACAGTGGGGCTGCTGCCCTCTGGAGCACTCTTCCCAAAGCCACCTCCAAAGCCCTGTTGGGAAGCAGGTGTCAACTCGCAGCCTCCACTTGGTAAACCTGGGCCAGCCCCCTTGCTGGTGTGAGCCCAGAGGGTGGCAGGGCACCAACACACAGCTCTTCTCCTCCAGCTGCTGGCAACTCATTACATGGGAAGGGAATTATGCTGCACAGGGCCATGGCTGTGCCAGGCAGATCTCCCTTCCACTCACACTTAGCTGAGCAGAGCAGACAGCACAGGGCAGGGAGGAAGGGGACAGTGGGGCACAGAGACCCGCTGGCCTGGGCAGGGCTGCAAGGCAAAAGGGAAGGAGAGAAAGAGCTGCACCTTCTGCCCCAACACTGCGTGGCATGGGAGCACAGCACGTGCCCTGCAGCTGATTTCTGCCTGTCCAGTACAGGCAGCTATGGAGCTTCACTCAGAGCAGCAAGTGCCCACCTGAGAGAAGCATCCTGAAGTCTCCTGGCTCAGGGGACCAGATGCTCTGCATTAGGGCTGGCATTCTGCACAGCCACCAAGGGCAGACATCCCCACCCAACCCAGCTGCTCTGCACTGAGCACCAGCTGGCAGCACCAAACCCTCTTGCTTCCTCACCACGCACCCAAATACAAGCTGCCCCTCCGGGTTACAGCCAGCAGTGCCAGGAAGCCAGCTCTGCCTGCAAGGATTAACAGTGCCACTGCAGGAGCACAAAACCTCCTAGGGAAATCCTCCCCTGCCATGCCAAAGGGTTACAGCAGCGCCGTGGGTTTGGAGGGAAATCCAAACGAGGGCAATTTCCAGCAGAGCTTTTGCAAGCCCAGCCTGGTGGGCTGCACCCTTTGCTCAAAGCCCAGCACTCAAACACTGCTTGCTGTTTAATCACAAGCATCTGAGAGAGCAAACTGTGGGCAGAGAGGAAGGAAGCTCACTCACAGCTCAGAGAAGCTGCACCCAGCAGGAACCCGAGGAGCCCAGCGACGCAGCCAACAGCCCAGGGATCACAGCCACGCGACAAAGGGGCTGCTTGTCCTCCCAAAGGTCCTTTTTGAAGCAGAGCTGTGGGGCTGGCTGTGCTCTGAACACAGCACTGCGCTGACACGGCCTCATCACTGCCTGCAGAGAAAAGCTGACAGCAGAAGGGGACAGAACAGGTTGGAGAGAAGAGAGGAGGAAGCCCAGCTGCTCACATGGCTCAGCAGAGTCCCAGCCGCAGGCCCAGGGTCCAGCTCTTCCCTCCCTCTCCCATTTCAAATCCACAGCACGTTCGTTTGGTTGGTTTCTTTTTGTTGCTTTGTTAAAAAATATACTTTCTTAATAATGTCCCATAAAAATACTCTCGTCCCCAGTGACGGATATTGCGGTGTGAAGAGTAACAGCTTCTGTTCCTGCTCTATAAAACGTGGAAAAGGCGTCACGCCGCTTCATGTAGAAAAACAGAACGCAGTATTACAAGAGCTGGTACAAAAGGAGGGAGGTGGGAGTCGCACTGGGACAGGTCCACAGCTCCAAGGTGGGCACAGCAGGCCTGCAGTCTCGCTCTGGGATTCAGCCCTGCTGCTTTTGGGCTGGGCTGTGTGGCAGCAGGGAGAGGAGGCAGCTCCCAACTGCAGCGTGGGGGGGGGATGGACGGACGGACGGAGCGACGTCTCCAGAAATAACCTCGTGGGGTTTAAAAAGGAACAAAACACTCTGTGCTGCTTTCTTCCTTTTCCAAAAAGGAAAACAAAACCTCAAAAGGACGTGGATGGTTGCAGTTTGAAACGAGGGCATTTCCGCATAAAACGCAACGTAGTTTTACGTACCTATCAAGTTGCAACAAAGAGCATGAAGACCAACGGTGCCAAAAAGCATCTAATAATAAATAGATCTGGATACAGGTATACACTCCGTGTACGGATATGAAATGCCTAACTGAGGAACGGCCCCCTGTCCTCTCTCCTCCCAGCAGCGGACGGCTCTGCTCACTCACCAGTCCAGAGTGATGCTGAGGCATCTGCCCCTTCTTCGTGGTGGTGGAATCTGCCCAGAGAGGTGAGGGAAGAGAGGCCGTGATTCTCAGGGGGCAACGAGTTCCATGCCTTCCCCAGCAGGAAGGTCGAGTGTGCAAAAAGGGGTGTGAGGTGGGATCCGAAGCAAAGCTCCACGGCAGCCCTCAGTTCTCAGAGAGTGACAGAGCCAGAGCAGCCTGCAGCGCTGCCTCCTCGTCGATGTTGTAGTCCTACAAACAGAATGGATGGTCAGCAAGGCAGTGGTGCGAGGCTGTGCTGCCCTGCCTTTGCGTCTCAGTCCCTCTCCTGCCTGGGTTGAGACTCCTGACATCACCCCTGCTTTCAGAGCTGGCAGCAGGCAGGGATGAAACTGGCCATGGTTTCCCAGATGGGCTCCAGGGAAAGCTTTCTTGCAAGGCTACACGCTTCTCCAGTGCTCCCTTCCTGGGCTGGGGATGTTTCTCTGCAAATAGTTGCAGGGAGGTCCAAGCAACAAAGTTAGGATGCTAATAGAACCATCTGCTAGTCCCTGTGACCACAGCTGCACAGTCACACTCCTACGCCCCGCTCAGATGGTCTGCAGCCCCTCAAAGAACGTCCCCCTGTGCTGCAGCCAGACCTTCCAGGCTGCAGGCTGGGCTGCTCCTCGCCCTCTCCTCGTGTTTCCCCACGTGAAGCCTTGAAGAAAAGGGCTTTTGTATTACAGTCCCTCAGGGGAAGAGTTTAATGGAGCACATGGAAATAAACAAACCATCTTCATGGGGAGGGATAACATTTCTCTCTGCTGCACTGGGGGTGACTTTTGCCTTAGTGTGTGTCTAACAAGGCCCAGTGTGAACACGCAGAAGCTCTCCCAAGTGGGGCTATGTGTGCTGCATGCATCCCACAAAGCCCAAAGGAGAAACTTTCCCCTTGCACCCCTCAATGTGCTGCAAACCAGGACAGGCAAATCCTGGCAGGCAAGAAGGGCTGGATTTGTCACCCAGACACTCTGTGTGGGGCACAGGGAAGATGATTCTGTTCTGGCTCACAGCCATACTCACCACAAAGGTGTCGTAGGAGAACTTGTGCCGGTGCAGGAGGTGCTGCAGGAAGTTTGCACTCTTGTAGCTGGGGTCCCCCCAGGGCATGGCTGAGCAGACAGGGCACACCTGCAGCAGGCAGGGACAGGACAGCTGTGAGATGTGGGCACTGAGCCGCCTCCAGCTCTCCTGGGGGGCATCAGGGAGCTGCTGCAGCCATGGCACAAGAGAGAAGTGAGCAGTGTCCCTCTGTCTGGGGTTGGGTATCCACTGCAGTGGGTATGCCAAGTGCCTCTGCCCTCTCAGCAGATCCCTCTGCGCACAAAGCTGCTGGCACGTAGCCCAGACTGCTTTTAGCTTGCTGACTAGTTAAATGTGTACATGAGCACCTTTCAGATGATGCCAGAGCTGCAAGCTCCCCACACCTCAGTCAAATCAACAGCAAGAGAGAGAGCAAATCCAGCACCAGCTCGGTCATGAGCACAGTGAGACAGAGGCAGCTCGCTCCAGAGAGCCTCTAACAAAGCCAGCAGGGGCTGCTGTGAATCTAGTCATATTTCCAGCATTACCCACCCAGAACCAGCCTTGCTCACCACTTTGTTGGGGTCATTGCGGTGATTCTCCATGCAGTGCTTTACCAGTTCCTGCTGGTCCAGATTCCGGGCCCCACAATATGGGCACACAAACGTTGAGCGATTGGGAATATTGCTAAAGAGAATGAGAACAAGCTCAGAGCCCTGCCAAGTGCCTGCATCAACTGCTTCCAAACGCACCCAGCCACCTCTGCTGCTGCCTGTTCTGCTGTGTCCCACCTGCCCACGGTAAAGCCAAACCAGCCTGTTCCCAGCCCAGCCATGAGCTCAGCCACCCTGATCTGCTCAGTCCCTTCTCGCTGGCTGAAACACGGGGCAGTGCCAGGGCTGCAGATGCCAGCAGGATAAGCATGCTGATGTTTGTGGTTGTGAACGGCCCGGGAGAAGGAGCAAACAAAACCCATGTTTGGATTTTAGAGCTTCTAGTGAAGATGGATGAGAGCATCTGTGCAATCTGCATTTTTCTATGTGATGCATGACAGTACCTGGGGATAGGCTGGGATGTGGGGACAACTGGGACAAACTTGGGGCAGTTGGCCATCTGCTCCTGCACCTTTGCACAAGACGAGACGTGAGACCGCATTTTCGCTAGGGTCACCTGGAGGAGGAGAGGAGAAACATTCCCAGAGGCTGCAGGAACACATTCAGCTGTCAGACAAAGCACCAGAGCCACCGGTGTGGCAGAGGAAAGCAGTTTTCACCACGTTTTGGCCAATCAACAGCAGAGCAAACCGAGGTTACACGCAGAAAGTCAGGCTGGCTGCACTATTGCAGCACCAGCTCCAATTTCCTTGGCAAAAGAGGAACTGTTGACATGCATAGCCCTGAACTGCTCTGCCACCATGACAGCGGTTTATTTCAGGGTGACACAGAGGCAGCTACAGGGAAATCTCCACTGTCAGGGGAAGGCAGAAAGCAACCAGCACTGCCTGTGGAGGTGCACCACGAATCACAGCCTTGCAGCCGGTCCAGAAGCACCCCACACCTGACTGCTGGGCTGGGCCATGCTTTACCTTCTTGCTGCAGCCTCTGCAGGGAGCCTTGTAGGATGAGAGCTGTTTCTCCACACTGGAAGCCTTCTCTACCTTCTTGGGGTCGAAGGGCATGCGGCAGAGCGGGCAGAGCGGGGATGGCACCTGGAGGCAGGGCTGCAGGCACTCCCCACAGAACCTGGGGGCAAAGAGAGCAGCAGGAGTGAAACCTCAGCCCCAGGGCAGGACACAAGGCTGCTGGGCACCTCAGGCAGCCCCAAAACCTAGCAAGCAGCATCCTCATGGGGCAGCGTGGGAAACGGTGAGGGGGAGTGAGGCACAGCTCAATCCCCAAAGGAGCTGCTTGCCCTTCAAACATCACTCCTTGCACGTGCCATAGGGCTCCACACACGTGTGCCTGCTGCTTGGAGACTCACGGCTGGGAGCAGCCGGCCCAGATTTGAGCAGAGCCAAACAATAATGGGCGCTGAGCGCTCAAGCTGCAAGGAACAAAGCAAGCATGCAAGCTCAAGCATTAGAGCCCAGCTCACCTCCTCTCAAGGTCTTTACGTTGGCAGCACAAAGGAAGCCCACGCAGCCACACGGAGGGGAGGGCTGAGCACCGTGCCACCTCCTGTCCTCTTCCTGCAACCCCCTGGCACTCAGACGTGGTCACCTAAAGTGCCACAGCATCCCCATCTGCTACCCAGCTCATGTCACTCCGCAGCTGTGCTGGCAGCTGGCACAGTCCCTATCTCACACACTGCCTCTCCACATGACAGCAGCAAAGCCTGCAGGGATGTCACTGCCGGGGGTTCCCAGGTGGCAGCGTGGCACACTTAGAAGGGCCAGTGCTGCAGAGGAGCCACGTGCACTGCAGATGAGAAGGGAAAACACCATATGGGGGTCCTCTGCTCCAGTTCCCTTCCAACCCCCTGCAGCACCCTCAGCCTCAAGCACACCAAGAGCTGCCACAGCCATGGGAGAAAATCCCCAAAAGCTGCTCAGAGGTGGCACTGACACACTGTGCTGCCAAGGGGACCCAGTGCACTCCCAGGGGTGTCAGTGGGGATTTCCAACCTGAAACCCCAATTGGAAAAGCCAGGGAGAGGAGTCAGCTTTGGGGAGGAACAGCAGGACTCAGTGTGGGCACAGGATGGGATGGGGGCACCAGTACCAGCTGGAGTGCAGGATGGGGCCTTGGTGTGGAGATGTCGTGGTTGCCCTATCCCTGGAGGCATTCAGCTTGGATGGGACCCAGTGCAGCCTCACCTGGTTCCTGATTTAGCTGTTGGCAACTCCAGCCACGGCAGGAGCTTGGAAACAGATAATCTTTGAGGTCCCATCCAACCCAACCATTCTGTGACTGTATCGTGTGAGGCAGGAGATGGGACGGGGGCCGGTACTGGGTGTGCTGTGGGATGAGGGTCCTGGGTTGGAAGTCCCTGTTCCAGGTAAGGCACGGGATGGCACGGCACGGGATGGCACGGCACGGGATGGCACGGCACGGGATGGCACGGCACGGGATGGCACGGCACGGGATGGCACGGCACGGGATGGCACGGCACGGGATGGCACGGCACGGGATGGCACGGCACGGGATGGCACGGCACGGGATGGCACGGCACGGCGGTCCCGGTGCCACCAAGGCTGTGGGACAGCAGGCAGGGCATGGGGCGTGTTGCAGGATGGACTGACAGCCCGGTTCTGGCCGGGCAGCGGGATGTGGGTCCCGATTCTGGCACCGCCACCCGCCCCAGGCCCACCGCCCACACCGACCCCCTCAGCCCCCCCTACCGCCGCCGCCCCCGCTCACGTGTGGCCGCAGCCCGCGATGCCGACGGCGCGGTGGAAGACCTCCAGGCAGATGGGGCAGCTGAACTGTGCCTCCAGAGCCTCGGCCGCGGGGCCGCCGGGGGGCGGCGGGCGGGGGGGGCCGGGGCCCGGGGCCTGGGGGCGCTGCGCCGCCGCTACCAGCAGGCTGCGGAACATGGCGGCGGCGGGCGTAGGGATGGCGTGACGTCGCCGTGCGTCGTGACGTTGCCGTGCGTCGTGACGTCATCACCGCGCGCCGGCGGCGGAGGGAGGGGGAGCGGAGCGGAGGTGCCATGTGTGAAGCGTCGGGGCGGTGCGGAGGGTGCGGGGAAGCGCCGGTGCGGCGCCGCGCTGCCCCCGTGTGCAGGTGGGAGCGGGACGTCGCGAGAGATCCGTCCCCGGGGCCGTGCCCCGCTTCGGGAGGGGATCGGTGACGGCTTCGTTCCCCGCAGCCACCCGCGGCCGTGCGTGAAGTGTGGGGATGGTCCCGCCGCCGTCGTCATCCGAATCGGGGATGCGTTTTGTCGGTGAGGGGACCGGGATGCTGGGGTGTGGAGACGGCGGGGCGTGGGGATGTGTGGTTCAGGGGTGTGGGGTTGGGAGACGTCAACGCTTGGGGACGTCAACGCTTGGGGACTTTGGGTACTGGGGAGATCGCGGGTCTGGGTTATGGGGGCATCAGGCTTGGGGACGCGAGGCTCTGAGATGTCTGATGATATTGGGTTTGGTGACATCCAGGAGTAGGGACATCACATCCTGGGGACATTAAGGCGTGGAGATTGTGATTCAGGGCCTGGGGATGCTGCAGCTTGGGGATGTGGTTTGGCGTCATGGGGTTAAGAAACATCAAGACTCTGGGATGGAGGGCACGGGGACAGCACAGATTGGAGACATTGGTCATCAGGACACAGAGACGTGGGGCTCTGGGATATGGGGAACTCAGGGGTGTAGGGCTCAGAGATGTCAGGTCTGGGGACATTGGGTTTTGTAATGAAAGAATGGGGACATCACAGCTTGGGAACATCAGCACTTAGAGATAAGAGCTTGTAGACGTGGGGCTTGGGGACACTGGGTGTCAGAGACACCAAGGCCTGGACACAGCAGTGCTTGGAGACAGGGGTGCTCAGGGCTGCCTGTCTGTCTGCAGCTCCTGTTTCCGTGAGTACTTTGTGCACAAGTTCCGTGCCATGCTGGGCAAGAACCGCGTCATCTTCCCAGGAGAAAAGGTACTGGGGACACGTGGGGTGGGGGGGACGTGGTGCTGGGGGCACTGCACTGAGGCCGCTGACTGTCCCTGCTGTCCCTGCAGGTTCTGCTGGCACTGTCAGGCGGGATGGCCTCCAGTGCCATGCTGCGACAGGTGCAGGAGGTGAGTGTAGGGGGGTTGGGGGACGTGGGGCACAGCTTAGCCTGCTTACTCCATTGCTGTGCCAGGGGCTGAGCCGTGAGACGGCCAAGCGGCTGCGCTTCGTGCCTGGCCTCATCTACATCGATGGTAAGGCACGTCCCATCCCTGCTGCTGGTGCATCTCCCTGTGACCTGTCCCCATCCCTCCTTCCCGTTCCTGTTGTGGGGCTGTGATACCCCGGGGTCTGCTCCCCTGCTCCAGCTGCTGCCACTGTGCCCACAGAGGGAGCGGTGTGCGGGCAGAGCCTGGTGCAACGGGAGCAAACTCTGACCCGCATGGAGGCCTTGCTGCAGGAAACCGGCTTCCCCTACTACCTGGCCTCCCTGGAGCAGGTGGGGACAGGATGGGGCTGGGGAGCACAATGTGGGGAGATGCGTCTGCCTGCACACAGCTCCCTATCTGTCCACAGGCCTTGGAGCTGCCTGGCTCAATCCTGCAGCGGGGCCCTGGTGGGGACAGTGAGCCAGGCCCTTCTTACAAGGCGGCTGTAGAGGGTTTCATCCAGCAGCAGCGGCAGGAGGAGGCCGGTGGGGATGGTGGCACCTCGCCCACGGGGTTCAGCACCCAGGATGGTCCCACAGGGGACTCCCACGCCTGCCTGCCTGCAGCTGCTCGCACTGAGGAGCTGCTACGGCTCTTTGATGCAGCAGAGACGCTGACGGCAAAGGAGGAGCTGCTGCAGATGCTGAGGTGAGGGACTCCTCCTGCCCAGCGAGCACATGGCACGGCCCTGTGGGTCTGAGCCAGTGTCACTGTGTCCCCAGGAGCCACCTCCTCCTGCACACTGCCCGCACGCGGGGTTACACCAAGGTGATGACAGGTGAGAGCTGCACCCGTGTGGCCATCAAGCTGCTCACCAATCTGGCACTGGGACGTGGCGCCTTCCTCGCTGTGGACACAGTGAGTGCCATCCCTGCCTGGGAGGGGGACAGGACCCAAGCACTGCTCTGTTCCTAGGATTATCCCCAGTTTGGTGGCAGTATCTCAGCAGACTCCTGCTCATCTGCAGGGCTTTGTGGACAGCCGACACGGTGACGTGACAGTGGTGCGTCCCATGCGGGACTACACGGCCAAGGAGATTGCATTCTACAACCACTTCTTTGGCGTCCCCACCATCATCACACCACCCCTCCACGCCAAGGTAGGGGTGCCCCCGCTTCCCCACTTCCAGCCAGATTGAGTTGTGGGCCTCCCTCCATCCTGCCTTTCTCTATTTCCCCTACAGCGCCGAGAGAAGACCAGCATCCACCGCCTGATGGAGAACTTCCTGCTGGGGTTGCAGGTGGATTTCCCCTCCACCATCAGCACCGTGTACCGGTACAGCACCTGAGGGCAGGGTGGTTGGGGGCAGGCAGTGAGGTGCCCACTGCTCATCCCCTCTTTACATCTGCAGGACAGGTGAGAAGCTGAGCGTGGCTCCAGCAGAAGCAAACAGCGAAGTGCAGCGCTGCCTGCTCTGCCTCTGCGCCCTGGACATCGCTGGGGGTGAGTGGCACTAGGGGGGGGATTCACTGAGGTGACAGCGTATGCCAAGTGTGTGACTGTCCCTTGGTTCTTGCAGAGGAGGAGCTGGCCTTAGAGCCCACGCTGGTGAAGGAGGAGACAGGGAACGGGTGAGCAGTAGGATGTTCTCCAGCATGGGGGACATGGAGACACCAGAGACAGCAGCAGGGACGTTGTCACTGCTCCGTCCCTTCTCCCTGCAGGGCTGAGAGCAGAGCTGCCTTCATCCCACTGCTGTGCTACGGCTGCCGCCTGACGTTCAAGGAAATGGTAAGGATTTGAGGTGGCTCTCCAGGAATTGGGGACAGGGCTCAGTGTCCCCACTGTCCCCTCTCTTGCAGGGCCCCCCAGCCACGCTGCCACCCTACGTGCGCAACGAAGCTCAGCGCAGGAACTGCAGGTAGGGGACAAGCTGGGGAGGTCCCTTCCCTGTGGGCTGAGGGCAGTGCAGCCAGCAGGGCACCCTGGTCTGTCCTTCACAGGGCTCTGATGAAGCAGCAGATCCAGGAATTCCTGCTGGAGGATGAGGAAGAGGAACCTGGCGGGAGCTGACAGTGCAGGGCACAGCTGTGGGGCACAGGGCCCTGTCACTGTGGGGCAGGAGGGTCCTATTAGGGTGAGGGAATCTGGAGTCACTGGGCCACCTGTGGTGATACCTGGCATGCAGGCAGCTGCTTTTACACCAGATTCAAATGATCCAGTACCAGCAGGGGGTCAGGGGAGACCCCCCTCCAAGTGCCCATGCAGGGGGTGCCGATACCCACAGGCATCACATCCCTGCTCCCGCCCCACCGCTGGGGAAGCTGGGGTGGCCTCAGCTTTATTTTATTAGATATCTGTATAAATAAACCATTTGAATTTAAAAAAAAAAAGTGTCTACAGTCCGGCTGGGGATGCCAGCCACCCCAGTGGGGGGGCCACAGCACCGTGCACCCCCCCTTTATGGGGCTATGGGGGTATTGCTTTAGAGTTCAACCTGGTTGTGGAGCGGGGCTGGGGGGTGCAGGGGGATGCTGGCTCGTGCCCAACCCCAGCAGCCAGGGGGATGCGGCGTCAACTCCTGACACCCCCCACAGCTGGCCAGCCCCCCAGAGAAGGCACAACATGGTCTCTGCCGGTTGGACGGCTTCAAAGCAAGGTGAGGATGAGATCCTCCTTCTAAAAGCACCGTCCCGTGCCCCCCAGCAGGATGCGACCCTGCAGGGCTGCTTAAGGCATTGGCGGTGGTGTCCCCCTGCGAGGGGCTGCAGTCCCTTCCCCTTACTCCTTCTCCCTCGTCCACTTGATCATGGTCTCTGGTGAGCGGTAGAGGAAGATGAGCTTGGCGTAGAGCTCCTCCTCCAGCTCCAGCTCTCCCGTCTCCCGCACCAGGAAGATGTCCTGGCACAGCTTCAGGATGCGGTCCACGCAGGGCAGCTCCTCAAACATGATGGAGTGTGAGATCTCGCTGAAGAAGCCTCGCACAAACTTCCCAATCACCAGCACGATGGAGACGTACAGCCCCATGATCCTGCAATGGGGGTGGGATGAAATCACCTTCGTTCCCCCCTCGCCACCCCCAGCTCCCTCCCTTGCCCCCCTACGCACCCATAGCCGGCCAAAAAGCCCAGGCTGGGGGGGCTGACTTTGTCGTTGAAGATGACCATGGGCAGGATGTTGCCGTCGCGTGCTGGAGCATCCTTCAGCCTCACCACCCACCACTCCAGGAAGCTGTCACTGCCCTGCCCTGAGCCTGAGCGCTCCCGTTTCAGCTGCACCTCGACATCCAGGTAGCTGTCCTCTCCATCTGTGGGGCGAACAAGGGGGGGGGTCAGGGCATGGCACGCTGGCCAAGTCCCCCATCGTGTGAACAACAGACAATGGGACCCACCTGGCAGCAGCTGCTTGACTGGGTTGGCTTCGGGGCCATTGGGTGCCCGGATATATTTGGGGAAGAGTTTGGGCACTTGCCTGCAACAAAACAGAGTGAAGCGCCATCCCCGGGGGCGTC